CTCTATTGCTCCCAGACCGGGGTGTAAAAGGGCTATCGGGATAACTTAAACCTAGTAGCCTTATGCTCCGCGCTACGACGAACTCACTATTTACCATGACTAACTGATTTACTGCCAGTGGCTGCTGCTACTAGTTTTACCACTCACGAGCTATGGGCTGGATTTCAAATGTGAAAGATTGACAAATGCCTTGCTTGCTTGCCTCGGTTGGGGGGGCTTCTTGTTCCGTTCCCCCGCACGAGAGAGGAGGACTCGATTCGAGGGGCTTTCCTCTCTCTCTCTTGCGCCCTCTTTCTCTCCTTTTCTCTTTTGATTTACTACTCGGCTCCTTCTTTCCTTCTGCAACTGTCTTCTTTGACTGTTGATTGTTTACAAACTACGTCCGATTATGTCTTCGGACATGCCGTTCATGGCTTACGTCGATGCGATTCGTTATCGACGAATATTAACTCTTTTGCTCGACGAATGATGGATTCTCAAGTGATCCGGGTTGCATTTCCACTAACAAATCATACTGACTGACTCTCAGGCCGCTTACTTTGTTCAAGACATGAGAACAACTTATTAAATTCTAGCTTTTGATCGCAGCAAAGTCCACCAAACATGGCTGGCTAACTAACGTCAAATCAAAATACATACACATTACGTTCCCAAGGTGTGTGTCTTCCCCCAGCGCATTTCGGGCTCAAAGTGAATGTGGTGGTAGACGCAAGTGCGCACTCCTGGTGCTCCTCGTCCTGCCCCGACTAACGAGTCTCGCAGTGAAGACACAAGCAGTCTACCGCGGGCAGACTACCTGGGTCGTCGCATGGCGGCGAGACCGGTCTACGATATCCAGAGACACACCCTTGACGCTTTCTATCCAATCGCTGTCGTTACCGTGTCATCCACCAACCGGTGGCATGCCAGACTGCTTTTGCATTTACTCAGCCAGGCCAAGGTTCTCCTCAGCAGGGACCACACGGACGGTGTTGGTGTGGCCCATACCGCCGCGCCATCCCTGGACACAGACGATGTTGTCACCCTTGTTGATGATGCCGAGCTTGAGTGCGTGGTTGATACCCCACTTGAGACGGCGGTCAACATCCTCCTGCCAGACCTTGACGTTGAAGTCGGGCTTCTTCTCGGGGAAGAGGAAGGGCCAGACACCACGGTACAGGTGAGAGTACTGGTTTCAACACGTTAGCACACGACTCTCGAAACAACACTAGCTTCTCGACTTACCCGGGAGGCAGCGGGGTTACGGGTGACCATGACAATGGGGCACACGGGGCGGTACTTGGAAAGGTAGCGAGCAGTTTTACCGCTACAGATCTGTCAGCACTCATCCTACCCGACTGGATATATCCAAATGGAAGCGTCGCTACATACCTGGTAGTCAAGACGACAATGGCACCAGCGTTGAGTTCCAGACTGGCGCTAACGGCAGCCATGGCGATGGACTCGACAGTGTCGGTGGGGCGAGGAGCAAGGTTGCGGAGCTCATCGAACACGTTGAAGTGAGGGATGGCGACCTCGGCGAGCAGGCAGGTCTCGGACATCATCTTGACGGCCTCGTTGGGGTAGTTACCCTTGGCGGTCTCACCCGACAGCATGACACAGTCGGCACCGTCAAGGACGGCGTTGGCAACATCGGACACCTCGGCACGAGTGGGACGAGGGTTGTATGTCATGGACTCGAGCATCTGAGTGGCACAGATGACGGGCTTACCCTTGATGTTACACTTGGCGATCATCATCTTCTGGGCGATGAAGACCTTGGGGGCGGGGATCTCGATACCAAGGTCACCACGGGCAACCATGACACCGTCAGTCTCCTCGAGGATCTCGTCGAAGTTGTTGACACCCTGCTGGTTCTCAATCTTGGCAATGATCTGGATCTCCTTGCCCTCCTCACCCAGAACCTCACGGATGTGGCGGATGTCGCTACCGCGGCGGATGAAAGAAGCGAAGACCATGTCGACCTTGTTCTTAACACCGAACTTGAGATCGGCAATATCCTTCTCGGAAAGGGCGGGGAGGTCAACGTCAGTGCCGGGCAAGTTAACACCCTTGCGGGAGGAGATGTTGCCGTTGTTCAAGCAGCGGACGCGGATGGTCTTGTCGTCTACGACTTCGAGGACCTCGAAGGAAAGGATACCGTCATCAACATAGATGAGCTTGCCAGGAGAGATCACCTTGGTGATGTTCTTGTAGTCGAGGTACCTTCAAGACGACTGGTTAGCGGAGTCCGTGCACAGACAAGTCTGGGCTGGTCTCCCGATCCACTTGCAGTGGTCGGAAGAACGCGGGGAGGAGGCTTACATGTTCTTGTCGTCGGAGGCGGTGGCATATTGATCATCGGTGGTGATGTTGAGCTCGTGGCCCTGCTTGATAGGGATATCCTTATCATCGGGGGTGTTTCCGGTACGGATCTCGGGACCTTTCTACGGAGGAGTCAATTTGGGGATCGCGACCGGCCAAGGGACCGGAGAACTTACGGTATCGAGAGCAATGGCGAGAGGACGTCCGACCTGGGTCTTGGCGGCCTCACGGGCGTTGTCGATAACAGATTGGTGGTACTGGGGCGGGTCAGCATACTGTCATGTGCCAATGCACGGATGGGGACCGCTTCTTACCTCATAGGAACCGTGGGAGAAGTTCATGCGAACAACGTTAAGACCGGCTGCAAGCTAGTCAGCTGATTGATACCTTCCAGAGTGAATGGGTTTTATCGGTCGTACCAGTGCGGAGAGAGTTGATCTTCTCCACGGAGTTGGTCTTGGGGCCTAAAGAAAAAATCGGAGGTTAGCTTGAATGAGGTCAAGTGCGGGGTGCGAGGTCTTCATCATCAAGAGATGACAATCGCAACGACACAACTGGCAGGAACATACCGATGGTGCCGATGATGGAGGTGCGGCGGAAGTTCTTGGAGGGCACCATCTCAGTGTTGAGCTTGGAGTGCCACTCCAACTTCATGCGGTTGCTCAGGTGGTCGAGGGAAGAGCTGGCGGCCATCTTGACGGATGATTGATCTCTACTGAACTAACAGGAAAGACAGAAGAGAAAGGGATTGATGGAAGATGGAAGAGAGAATGGAGAGAGAAAGAAGAAGAGGAAAGAGGAGAAGAGGGAGAGATAATAGGGAAGGAAAAGACGGGGCCGGTGAGCGAGAGAAGAGAGAGATGGTGGACTAGAGGAGGGGTGCCCGGGAAGGAAAAATGTTGGCGGCGGTGATTGGCTGGATCGGCCCTTTTTGGTGGGATTCCTGCTTTGGGACACTTTTTTCTGTCGGTCGGTTCCCCGCGGGTTGAGAGAGCAGAGCAATCAGTACTCCGTACTTAGTTTAGTTGTGCCTCCTGCTACGGAGTAGTTACAATCACACTTCTCATCGCCTACCTAATTCCCATTATTAATGACTTTTTCCCTCTCCGGCACTATCGCTGGGTATCAAAACTCAATAATTTGCTTCGTGATCCACCTTTCACTGCTTTTGCTTCTATTCTTTGACTTTGATCGGTAGATACACCCCTGCTGCCTCTGTCCGCGCTTTTCACTGGTCAGCCAAGGGTTTCCGCCCAGCGATCAGCAGCAGCTTTTTGTCCACTTCATCCTCAGGCACCTGCTTCCGCGCATCTCAGGCATTCATACGCCGCATGCAATAATAATTGGTTGGGAAGATCCAAAAGCAATTCAAGCCCAAGCCACAATCTGGCAGATACACCCACACAACATTCCCCTACTACCTATCTACCTACGTATCTATCTACAACTAACTTTGTGAAAAGTAGAATTCTGGCAGGACCACATGATCCCCTTCCTCACTGTCCAGTTGACCCCACATGGTCGCGGATCCATCCTCTTCTAGCGAGGTGGATTTGATGTCTTTGTTGGTGCTGATTTTTCTCTCCCTCCTCGCCTAAAGAAAAAAGCCCATTTTCCCCATTCCCTTACGCAAGAACTATTTCCCTGACTCCATCGGAATCCATAAGGCTGAATTTTGCTCTGCTCGGATGGACCCAGTTGCCATTTATGGAGAAGCTGTCTCTTCTTTTTACCTGGTCGTATGTGGGTAAGCAATTTTACTTAAGGTAGGAGATAATTTACTTGGAGGTTTTCTCTTCCTGTTGGAGGTTCTTAACTCCGAAGGTGTGCCGATTCCTCTATTTTGTCTTGGAGATAGATGGTTAGGTTAGGATGGGAGATAGTAGTAGCAGCAGCAGCTGAACCACATATATCCGAACTGAAGCTTGGTAGTTTATCTTGGCCTATTATGCTCAATATAATTATGTAAGTCGGTCATATGAAACATTCATGGGTTGTTGCATTGAGATATTCAAATTTTCTGTGATTGGACGCCCTAAAGGCAGACAGCAAGTAGTAGGTAGTAAAAGGTCTTCATGACCAACATCACTCATACCCTCACTACCACCGCACAAGTACCTTCTACATACAGAGTACATGAATTACGAATCCCGATCTACACCTACCTACTTAGCACCTGATTCTATCACCATAACCACCCTCCCGACTCAGCCCCCGGTGAATGAATGCTATGGATAATCTGCAATATGCATGCTAGGCCATTCCACTCCGTGACTACAAAGCCCGCCGTCGGCTCGGCACACTTCCTCTTACAAGGATAATTATACTTAGCACAGATACATACTTAATGTGATATTAGTCTGCAGAGCCAAGCCCCGGTTATCTTCACTCATTCCCCTTCTCAGTAGTGTTTCATCCTGCATCCACCCGCTCAGCTACTATTTGCAAAGTACTGCCGACTTGGCGGTGATGTGATTGCGTACTCTCTACGGAGTAGTTTTGTTTGGTTTTGTTTAGATTGGTTTCGGACTTCGGAGAATGAATGAATGCATGCTGATCTACTTAGTATTGATGTTTGTTTGCTCAGATTTGCTTTTTGGGTTGAGTTGGTTTGGTTGTTGGGATAGGATACTAAATGGGAGTGTGGGTAGTATTTATGATCCATCCTATCTCTAGGTTCATTCCGGAGTACGTAGTACGTACTATTTATGAAGTGGTAGAGTACTCCAGACTTAAGTAGTAGGTAGATAGGCAGACACTGCCCCTCCATACTTTCCCCTCTACTATGAGCAGCAGTAACAGTGGTCGCTCGGCTCGGCTAGACAACTTACTAACCAGCTAGCTACACACCAGCCACTCCCTCAAACCCAGCCACCCAATTGACCCATGACCACCAGCCCAGCCTCGCTCACCGCCTCGCACCAAATCAGTCGCCCACGTCATGTGAAAGCCACGTGAACTGGATGACTTCCTCCGTGGGGTGACCTGATACCTACCTACCTATCTTTGTTTTTTTCCTCTATTGCCCACTCACAAAGAACAATCCCACGCTCATAACCTTTACTATTCCTATTGATACAATCCGTTGCTGCGAAGCACTCAACCTGTCAGATCATCATCCCCAAATCTTCCTATCACCATGGTATGTCACGTACCCAAACTTGAAGCGGACCGGATATGGATGGATAGGAAATAAGGAATAGGATGGGATGGGATATACTAATATTCATGGGTGCATTCAGCTCGGACGTCTCAGCCACTACGCATTCGATGCGGTTCTTAGTACGTACACCCTTATCCTATCTTCTCTTGTTGGTTAAGTTGGGGTTTGGATTTCAAAGCTGACCTATTTCGCAATCTAGTCTCTGCCTTCCTGGCTGGCGTGAAGCGCTCGACTGGATTAACGTAAATACTACACCCCATTCCTCTTTTTTCCTCTTTGGTCACTGCGCTATCGTATGCATCCTATTTGTGACGACCAGTAAGCTAATCAGTTCATCCCGCGCACATCCCCCAAACCCTGGGGGGCATCGCGTGGGGTCTTTCACAGCCCCAGTCTCAACTCCGACAAAATCACCGATAACAAGGACTTCAAGAAGTGGATCGATAACTACCTGGGTGTTGGCGAGTGGGTGATGGATCAGTCTGTGGCTGTGTTGGGGTCCACGAGCTACTTCGAGCGCAAGCGGTAGATTTATCGCTGCCACTGATACTTCTTAATTACCGATCGCGTCGCTTTTCCTGAGTCGGAGTCGACGGTCGGCTTACGAATGGATTGGTTGGATCCCTGGTGGGTTGGGCATCTATGTGTGATTTGCCTGGGTTGGGCGAGTACACTACTATGCGAGGCTGGGGGTTTCTGGCTGAAGGAGAGATTGCGATATAAGGCAAGAAAGGGATTAAAGGGTATGGACCCCGTCGCGGTTGAGGGTATGGCTGCGATGGGTCGTTGCTCATGATTGATGATGGCATTTCGGCTCGTGTTCGAGTAGCGCAAGTCATGGCGTTGGGTATTTTGCGTTGACTGTATACCTTGATCCATGCTCCAATGGCAGCTCCCTTTGGAACATTTGCATCTCTTCTCGATATGCCTGTTTGTACATAGGTTCCCTGTTGAGGGATAACTCATCTGTATCTCTGTTCTCCGCTGTTTAGCTAACAACGGCCATGTTGTGACCGGACTACCCATCCAGGTTGCTTCCGGTATTTTCTTATCCACCAGTACAGTCACCGTGTGCAGGTCACTGACTAGCCTTGGAGTTATACAAGAGTATCCATTCTCAGGAGTCCGGTTCATTTCAATGTGGTAACCTCCGCAGGACCCGCCCTTGGACCGCGAGTGTGGTCTCGCAATAACAGATGCGCCCAGAGTGAAAGACTGATGGTCCATGCAAGCCTGTGTGGGTCTATTATAGCACGAAAGTGCTCGCTAACATGATTACCGTCAAGGGCGTCCACGCATGTAAAAGCCTAATCGCCAAAAACAAAGAGCCAGGGTATGTTCTGGAAGCACCGTAGGGTATGGAATGAGTGACGTGATTCGTTCAATCGTAACTTTCGTACTATGTAAGTATCGAACCTATGTCCGGAGTAATTCGTCGATGTCCAGACGACGGTAATAGGAGATATGGCCCATGGTTTCCCAATAGTGTGCTACGCACTCTGACGAAATCAGAATAAGTTGGGATGAGATGAACGTATCTAAAAGGAATATTAGCATGCATAGCGAAAAGCTGGGCATTTCCAGATCGGACTTACCATCTCTGAAACCGAGGCCCGCTACATGACCTTTGCTCCGTACTATACGTGCTCCCTGGAAGAGAGCTTCCTCCGCAAGGCGGACAAATCCTCCAGGGCCAACGTCATCTGCTGAGAAAGATATTTCGCCGCGAGGGACGTTAGGGTCTCCAGTGAGCTTGATGGCCTCAAGGCTGCATCGCTCTTCTCCGTGATCATGTTGTAGGAAAAGCAGAAATTCGCATCCATGTGCCGAGTAGTCTCCAACCCAGATGCCTTGGTATGGTTTCTTGTCTGTAGGCGTATACAGCTCGGGGTCAAGTGTAGCATAAGTCGACAGCGTCTCGCTCCGCCCAGCGGTGAAGATAGGCATACCCAATCGGAAGTGTGCCCATCTTCTAATTCGAAACGCATGCTCGGAAATTTTGTCCAGCTGTGGAGGGTGGTGTTCCCACTCCGGATCAACTTCACCACGATAGACGCGGTGTTTAGTTGGAATGGTTTTAGGAGGCCATTGTCGGTTCGCCACAATATCAGAAGTCATTCTGGCGGAGCAGAGTGAAAATGAGTTGAAGACATGCTGCGTCTCGAGAGGCATAGGCATGCGCGTTTCACCGCGCAAATATAACGGCCGACCCTCGTGATGGTTTTTCAGGAGCAAGACTGGATCATCTAACCAAAGACTAACTTTAGGATTGAACGTTTGGATTATAACATCTGGATTCCAGTCCCAGACTTGGAACTGGTGCGAGCGACGTTCTGCGATGACCCGATAAGCCTCTATGACGCCCCGTCGGTGATCGTAACGGGCGAGGATCAAATTTCCCGTGTGCTCGGTGTCCGCAAACCAGATCTTGTTGCGAGGAATGAACCAACAGGGATGATGGGCGATATAGAGACTGCGAAAGGAGTCAAAGACACCTGTTGTGTGTATGGGTTCGGGAAGATTGGAGTTGATGATATTGGCCCATAAAAGTTCGTTGGTCGCATGCTCAGCGAAAGTGCGGCAGGTAGATGATAAGCGAGCGAGATCTTGAGCCGATAGAAAAGACAATATATGCTGGACTAGCTCGGGAGGAAGGTCTAAAAATGAAGCGCTGGTTTCTCGGGGATTGTTGGAAGTTGTTTCCGATAAAGACGCCTGGGGATCGCCGTCCATCTCCACGGGTGCCTGTTTCCGTTCCTCCCAGGCCGGCTGATTGACAAGCGCAGCAGCCATCACGAGTCTCTTGGATGGAGTTAAAGCCGAGAAGCCAAGGGTGACAGGCGCAGCAGCAGATGATCTGCCAGATAGCGCTCGGAATAATTGAGTTGGCAGTGAGCACAAGAGCAGGGGAGATAAAGTAGTCAAGGAAACAAATGGTTGACGATCTGCATACTAAGTTAGCTTCCAGTGGATTAGCGAGGGGAAGGCAAGTCCAGCTGGCCGCCCGCATGACATCACCCTTGCAGCCGCCCCGATCACCTCATCAACGGAGCTGTCCAGCCAGATGTCTAGGTAAAGAGCGGTGCATCCCTGCGAACATTGTGCGAAGCATGGGATGACCAGTATTGAATGGCGTTATTGGGAGATCATTCGTTTGGCCACAGCAGTTCGCAGGGAACTTCCAAGTTGTCGTGGTGGGCCGCCGGCAGTAAGAGAAGTTGAGTTGAGGGGGAAAACGTCAATTTGGTGCTCGTCACGGGGATGGGCGATAAGATACGGAAACAATGTCTTTTATTGGCTAGTCACACAACAGATACAATACGCCTTGTCTTTCCCCTATCGATACTACATACAAGGCAGGCATTATCCGCCGGGTGCCTCAATAACAAACTTGTCTTATTCACGATTTGGAATAACAAAGCAAAACACAGCCTGAAACGCAAGGCAGCCGGGGCAGTCAGGTGACCGGCGCAAGGGTGGGTTTGTTTACGCGGTCCCAATCGGGCAATGGCCCTGTCCTTCAACGCGTCAGGAAGGCACGATGGGCCCTTGCCTAATCGGGAAAAATCACAATACTCCAGTCCCGTGGTGATTGCCGTCAACTGTTGTTCCGAACTACCATCATCATTACTACTACTCTATATATCTATTGGTTTGGTCTACGGCCCTATAACATCATTATTGTCTTAGCCAAGTGTCACTTAAGCCCTTTTGTTTTACCAGGCAAAACAAATCAGGGGCTGAGAAGATCGTGCGACAATTGACTCACCCCAGTCGGACCAGTACACAATCGCCATGGACACGAGACAGGCAAAACGAAAGAGACAAAGCAGCTCTTCATCTGGCCAACAGCCCCAAAATCCTCAAGAGCCTCCCACGCCAGTCTCGATTAGAAGGACTCGTCGCACCGAGTACTATATTACCTCCGCCACCTCTTGCAATACCCCTCATCAGAGTAAGAAGGTTCGCTTCTCAGACCCAGGTCCCGGGCGGCAACATGGTTCTGCCCACTCCACCGGCCTCACTCCGGCCATGCTGCGTTCTTCCTTCGAAGAACGCGCAGAAGATGATCCTTTGATTCGGAGCCCAAGCCGTCGCCAGCGACGGCGCTCAACCCCTCTTCCGCGGTCTCGCCGCAGTATGGGTGCTCTCGATGCTGCCAGTACAGCCTCCTCAGAGCATGTAGTGCAGTTTACACCGCTGCGACAACTTCTAGACGCGCGCACGAAACGACGAATCCGGCGGATAGGCCTAAGTGATGAGATCAACCATCTAGAGCGCGAGAAGAGAGAATCCGCCCAGTACGAGAAGACACTTCAAACACTACTACGCGAACGAGATTCGTTGAAGAATGAATTGGATTCGGTCAAACGAAATCAAGACGTATCCAAGAGTATAGCATCCAGCGAAGAAACCACTTGGCTGTCGCCACAATCCATGATCGAACAGGTGTCATCCGAGAATATCCGATTAAGGGAACAGCTTTCTTTCCCTTCTCCGGGTGCCACAACAGACCATGATACTATCAGCAACTCGGAGGGAGAAACAATGGTGATTAATGAGAGCGCATGGGATTGTGATACAATGCTTATATCAAATTCGCCGGATATTCGAGGCGTAGATGCCCGGATATCAGTGCCTGATAACATCTCGCTTCTGAGCCAAGGACATGCGAATACCGATGCGTCGACTCAGGCATCCATACCTGATTACAGGCAGGAGGCAGAGATTATTGCGCTTTCAGCCGATCTCGCAGCTGCCAGGAAGGAAAAGCGTGACTTTTTTGACGCTTGTCGCGCCCGTGTCGCTTCGTTTAGTGGAACTGCAATTGAAGGTCTCCTTCGCCAGTCCTCTCCGCCGCCAGACTTCTTGGAACAAGTTCTGCCTACCTTGGCCCAGACACTGCGGCGTGCTTCTGATGCCGCCCAAGCACTAGACAACGTTACGGAAGAGTTGTCGGGTCTCGGATTTCCTGGGAACAACGCTGAGGAAATCATCTCTACGATGCGCGATCAATTTCGCGCCGCGCGCCTTCAACTCGAACGCGCAGTTCCTGGCGAGACCGCCAACGCCAGTCTCAGTGATGGCAAAGCAACTCTTGGTGCTTTGGTAAAGCGGGTTGAGATACTCGTCAAGAGCCTTGGGGACGAGCAGGAACGACTGGAAGGCTCCGTAGGCCGGGAGAACGCACTTCGGGGTCAATTCGATACCCTGTTGGCTCGATATGAGGGAGCATCGAAGAAGATTCATGACTTGGAAGAGTCTATTGCCTCCTCCGCTGGAGACATGCTTCACACACGAATGCGTATGCAGGAGCTTGAATGCGAAGGAAAGGAACAAGCCGTCAGCATTCAGCGGTTGAATGCAGCCCTCGACAAGTACCACGAGGAAGTCAAAGGATTAGAGGCCCTAGTAACTGAATTGGAGGATGATAAGGCGAAGAACAACGAGTCACACAAACAGGAAGTGGACGAACTACAGCAACAGCTGGAAGAGCAGGCCCGCTCCCTTCGTACTGCCGAATCAACCGTTGCGGAGCGGGAAACTCGCATCCGGGAATTAGAGGAGGCCCTTGAACAAAATCGCACCAGTGTGCGTGACCTCACAGCTAGAATTGAGTCGCTCGAAGCTGAGCGCCAGCAAACGATACAGGATCTGGAGCAAGAAGCAACGGAGCAGCAACAGCGCCTTGAACAAGAAGTGGGGTCGATGAATGTGCTCGTCTCGGAGCTCAACACGTCACTAGAGGAAGCCAAATCAGATGTTGACCGACTTCGCCGGAGTAACACTGGCCTGGAGGAGCAGCTGCGCCTCGAAGTTGAAGCAAGGGACAGCCTGCTGGATAAATGGGCTGCAGAGCAAGCGCGGTCATTTGCTATTATGAAGGAAACCGTCAATAGCGAGCGACGGAAAGCCAGAGTTCGCACTGCGAACTGGGAGCTACGTTCGGATGAGATCCAATCATCAGATGGTCTGAATATCGAGCCCATCACACCGGTCAGTATGACAAGGTTTGTCGACGTGGAAGCTGGCCGGGGGAAACATCGTAAGCGACTAGACAGTGGGGTAGGGATACTCACCGACGACCTGGAAGATGCAGATGCTGGTATCATGCCAGAGTCGTTGCCTTCTGATCCCGCTGAGTTGCTGTAGTGCGTTTAGTACATGAGAAACATTGGAACGTTGTTCGCTATGCATGAAAAAGTCTGCAATATATTTTGGTTAGCTATGCATGTTATTGGGATAGTCTGCTAAGTCATGTACATCAAGCCTTGGACATAATGAAATGATTTGATAGTTGTCTGTTGTGCTCCTGTAACT